ACATGGGTTTTGAAGTAGGTCATGTATAGACGATCCCACAGAACACAGATCTGCTTGTGTGTGTATAGACTACAGGTGCTCCAATGGTTTCCTGATCGCTCAATAGCATCACCTAAGAGCATGTTAAAAATATAGAATCTTGGGCTCCATGCTGGGCATGGAGCTTACTAGAAAGAAGAAAGAAAAGAAAAGAAAAGAAAAGAAAAGAAAAGAAAGAAAGAAAGAAAGAAAGAAAGAAAGAAAGGAGGGAAGGAAGGAGGGAAGGAAGGAAGGAAAGAAGGAAGGAAGAAAGAAAGAAAGAAAGAAAGAAAGAAAGAAAGAAAGAAAGAAAGAAAGAAAGAAAGAAAGAAAGAAAGAAAGAAAGAAAGAAAGAAAGAAAGAAAGAAAGAAAGAAAAAGAACGAACGGACGGGGGGGAAAAAAAGAACTATAGCAACTTGTGCCTACCTCAGGCCTCTGGAATCAGAATTTAACAAAACGCTCAGGTGATTCCTGTGTAGGTTACAGTTTGAGAAGCAATGAAGTAAGGCAGTGTCTGGAGAGCTGCCCAATAAAGTATCATTAGGGGTGTTACCTTTGGGGGAGTGAGGGTGTGGGATTAGGATTTTCTTTTCTTCCTCTGCTTTTCTGAATTGTTAGTATTTTTTCTAATAAGCACATGTCATAAAAACAATAAAGCCTTTAAAATGCTTGCAAAGACGTAAGATCCCGGTTCCCGGGTGGCTCTGTTGGTTAAGTGTCCAACTCTTGGTTTTGGCTCAGGTCATGATCTCACGGTGGTGGGATTGAGCCCAGCATCGGGCTTTGCACTCAGTGCATAGTCTGCTTCAGATTCTCTCTGAAAAAAATAATAAGGGGGCGCCTGGGTGGCTCAGTGGGTTAAAGCCTCGGCCTTCAGCTCAGGTCATGATCTCAGGGTCCTGGGATCGAGCCCTGCATCAGGCTCTTTACTCAGCAGGGAGCCTGCTTCCCTTCCTCTCTCTCTCTGCCTGCCTCTCTGCCTGCTTGTGATCTCTGTCTATCAAATGAATAAATAAAATCTTTAAGAAAAAAAAAAATAAGGGACCCCTGGGTGGTTCATTTGGTTGGGCCGCTGCCTTCTGCTCGGGTCATGATCCCGGAGCCCTGGGATCGAGTCCCGCATCGGGCTCCTTGCTCATCAGGGAGCCTGCTTCTGTCCCCACCTCTGCCTGCCACTCTGCCTGCTTATGCGTACACGCGCTCTCTTTCTCTCTCTCTCTGACAAATAAATAAATGAAATCTTTAAAAAATAAAAAAAATTAAAAAAATAAGATCCCAAACTATAAAATTCACATAGGAGAAAACACAAGTAAAAAAACTTAGTTAACACTGGATTTAGCAATTATTTCTTAGCTAGAACACCAAAGCAAGGACAACAAAAGCAAAAATAGATAAATGGGACTACACCAAAATTGAAAAAACTTCTGTGCATCAAAGGACACAATCAACAGAGTGAAAGGCAACCTATGGAAGAAAATATCCACAAATGTAAGGGTTAATATCCCGGATATATAAAAACTCCTACAATTCAACAACAAAAAATCCAATAACCTGACTGGGGAAAAAAATACACAAAGGACATAAATAGATAGCTCACCAAAGATATATAAATGGCCAACAGGTATACAAAAAGATGATCAGCATCACTAGTCACTAGGGAAATGCAAATCAAAACCACAATGAACTACCTTCCCACATCCATTAAGATGATCATTATCAAAAAGGCAGACAACAACAAGTGTTGGTAAGGATGTGGAAAAACTGGAAGTTCTCCAGGCATGGTCACTGGCCCTTCCTGGCTGGAATGCACAGACAGAACTCTCCAGGCAGCCCCTGGGAAACTCTGGAGGCAGGTTCCCAGGCTAAATGCAGCTCAGATCCCAGCGGACATCATCTCCTACTCATGGGACAGGGCCCTCTCATGTTAAGTGTGTAAGACAGAGTCCACAATTCCCCTGGGGTTGCTACAGGCCTGGAGACCACCGTTCTCAGACCTCCATGGAGTCTCCCAGCATTAAAGGGCCAGATTGCCCATTTCAGACAAAATGCCTCTATCAAGACCGAGTCAGGTACTGCCACCAGACAGTACTGCCTTGGGGAGGGGGGGTGGAGGTGAGGGGAACTTCAGCTTCCAAAGACATTTTGCAGATCCCCAGAAGAAAGAGCTATAGGAAGCCTATCTGCATTGAACTCTCAACTGAGGCAGAAGAGGGGACCCACCCACTCTGGTGGTGAGCTGGGATCAGAACCCAGAACCCAGCACCCCAACTTCCAGGCCAGGCTCTCCCACACTGAGCCTATCCTGTGCATTTATTTAGTTGGGGTACCATTAAAGCCCCTGAGATGGGGTAGAAGGCTGGGTGCATTTCAGGCTTCCAACACCATCCCCCAAAGCCTCCAGAACAGGTATCCCCAATCCCACTTAAATCTCCACATCCTTAAGATAAAGTATGCATTCGCACTAGACTTATCGACATCCTTCAAAATTTGGTCCCCGCTGACTCCTCTCACTTCATACCCCACTCTTCCAGCCTTGCAGCCTCCTGAACTTCCCAACTTCCCCAAACTCTGCTTTCTCCCACTTCTGCTTAATAGCCTGTTCTTCCTTCGCAAGCAGGGAGCTGTCCCGGAGCCCCCACGCTGCTCAGTCACCGTCTCCTCTGCTCCTGTGAGATGGGCTGTGTGCCTATATCAAGAGCATGGAATCTGTCTTCTGCGTCTCGCCTGTTTCCAGCACCATGGCCAGCCAGCCCAGTAAATGATTATTGACCAAGAAAACAAACGCATGTGAGTTTTCGGCCTGTCTTTTTTTTTTTTTTTTTTAAGATTTTATTTATTTGACAGAGAGAGATCACAAGTGGGCAGAGAGGCAAGCAGAGAGAGAGAGAGGAGGAAGCAGGCTCCCCGCAGAGCAGAGAGCCCGATACAGGACTCGATCCCAGGACCCCGAGATCATGACCCGAGCCGAAGGCAGAGGCCTAACCACTGAGCCACCCAGGTGCCCCTCGGCCTGTCTTTTATGGCTAATTCTGGTATCTTCCTAAAGGCTCTGGAGCTTGGCCTTGACCTTCCACAGTAATGGGTCCCTATGTGTCAAATGCTTTACCCATGTTATTGCATGTAATTCTATGGCATAGGCATTAACTTCCATTTTATTGAGGAAGAAATCCATGCTTAGAGAAGTCTAATGGGGGGCGCCTGGGTGGCTCAGTGGGTTAAGCCTCTGCCTTCGGCTCAGGTCATAATCTCAGGGTCTTGGGATTGAGTCCCGCATCAGGCTCTCTGTGGGGAGCCTGCTTCCTCCTCTCTCTCCGCCTGCCTCTCTGACTACTTGTGATCTCTGTCTGTCAAATAAATAAGTAAAATCTTTAAAAAAAAAAAGAAAAAAAGAGAGAGAGAAGTCTAATGACCGACTGCCCACAGCCAGGATTGGAACCCGGCCTGACCAGCCTGTGCTTATTCCACTGCACCTCATAGATGGCCTCCCAGGAACTTGCTAGAGTGGAATAACAGGTGTGCCTGGGGAATTCTCCACTCTGTCCAGGGATCCCTTAAACTGCACTTTAACCCAGGAGGCTGAGAGATGGAAGGGTGACATCTTGATCAGACGGCAGAAGTCAAGAGTCTGGGAAACCTTCAGAAATAAAGAGGCTGACAGCTGACCTGCTGTCCTCCCCATACCGAGCGCTCCAGCCATAGTACAGATAGGGGCCTAAGTGAAAAAAGAAATCCTCTGTCAGGGGAGAAGCCTTTCACTCCAGTTATAATGGGGCTGGAAAAGAAGAGTCAAGGAGTCAAAAAGATGCCCTTGGGATGACCTTCTCAGTTCCGCCCAACTGGTAAAATGACCCAGAGAGAGCGGCAGGCTTGAAGAGCCTACCAGGGGTGCTTTAAGTCCCAGACTTTGTACCAAGCGCTTTACAAATCTTCTATCACTTATTAAATTTTTATAATCTCTATTCTGCAGATGAACTAACTGAGGTACAATTATTAAGTGAGAGTTCAAGGTCAAGAGGTTATGCATACAAACCCAGGCTTGCCTGCCTTCAAAGGTCATTGTCTTAACCACCACGCAAACTGCCTCCTTCCTGAAAAATCCTCAGAGAAAACAAGTTCCTTACCCACCCCCTCATACCATCATGGTTCTGAAAATTAGGAATTAGTCACATAATTGAGTGAGTTCATCCCATGTGTATCATGAACTATAAAAATGTTCTTGCCCTATGCCCCAAGTGTTCATTCCTTCTAGATGGAAAATAAACACCAAGCAGAGGGGGAAAAGTTTTTAAAAACTTTGAAGAAGTTATTTTCAGTGTTGTCTATAAAAGCCAGATTACTAACTGCAAAACACCTGGAAGCAACCCGGCTTCCCAACTGAGGGGCAAAGGCTGCGTGTGCTGGGATGGACTTGTTAATGTGGTGGACAGCACATAAACCTTGAGTATGTATGACCTATCGTAGTTGGGTTGTGTGCATTTACAAATGTCAAGTGTAAAAGTAGAACTCATTTTAATTTCAGAATACCATCTGAATGAGGCAGGCTCACCTATGCCATTTTCTTTCCCCCCTTTTTAAAGAACTCCAAGTCAATTAATTTTTGATAAGGTAATTCAAGCATGTGATAACTCATTCACAGAGTACTTAAAGATCTCAAGACCTAAAGCACTATGCAGTGAACCCACAACAATCGTTTAAAAATGTGGGTTTGATGATTTACAAAACCCAGAAGAGAACACGGGAAAGTAACTTGCTTTATGGTTATTTGGATCTGCCTTTTTCCCTGCAAGGCTGAAGAAACACGTAGAGAATTCACAACATTTCTGAGACATAGTGCAGAGCTGCTTGGTCGGGGGTGGGGGGGTGGGGCTGTCTTTTTCAATTCTTGCTCAAATCCCTCTTGCTGTGATCTGCAAAAGCGGCAGCTAAGTTGAGGTGAAGTCTGGAAAAGGAAACCATATGAGAAAAAAAATGCCTTCTTACCTGTTCACCCAGGAGGATGTGGTTTTCTAGGGCTTTGCTGAGGATTTCAATGGACTCCAGGACTGGAGCAGGTGCCCAGGAGCTGGGGGCAGTGGGTGCCAGGTGGGAGAGGCTGCGGCTTCCCTTAGCCTGCAATCCAGGCTTCCTGACTGATGAGAAAGGCGGGGGAAAGCAGGCCACTGCAGCTCCCGATTCAGAAACTGAAGCCAGCAAGGGCGGGGCAGGGCCACGTGTCCCCAGCCTGCCTTGGGAGTGCGGGTAGGAGGGGGCCACAAACCCAGACGATCAGCCAGAAACTGTTTCCTGGCTCAGAGTGCCTGGCAAGTTAATGGCAACTGTCCCCCAGAGTAGGATTTTGGCTCCCAGGCAGGTTGGGCCATTTTAAGGAGATACCCTAGCTCCTCTCCAAAACACATTTACTCTGGCAAAAAAATTCTCCTTACAAAAGTTAATAAAACTGGATGATGTGGAAATGACTGCAGTGCATGTGTACACAGAGGGACAGATGGAGAAAAGGCCTTTGATAAATATCACCACTGCTGAGGACCAATCCATTACCCAGTGTACAGAGACAGACAGACATGAGCCCAGAGAGATGAAGCCCAGGACTTCCTGACATGACTTCTGGTGTAACTCGTGATAGGACACATAGCACAGGGAGTTCCTGAGGACACAGAAATGAGGCCCTTTGCTGAGCCTCACCTCTGAGAATAAGGGCACTTTCACTTTGCCTGGGTTGGATCAAATGCTGAGAATGGTTCTGCCCAGCAGAGTTCCATGGGCACCACGGGGAAGCTCCTCCCCCACCTAGTTTTCACAGCAAGCTCTATGTATCTGGAGATGTTAGGGGTGGGCCAAGCCCCCAAAGGATCCTTTAGCCCTTCCTCCAGAGGACGTTACCAGCAGGGATCAGGGGACAGGGGAAGGGCTGTGTTCAAAGCATCAAACTATTCAAGACAGTAATTTCCAGCTCCCATTTCTCTGAAAGAGAGCACAAAATTTTTATTAAAGGACCCCTTAATAACATCTAGAATTCCAGAACACCTAGTTTGAAAAATGCTAGCCTAGATGTTAACATGTCTTATTCTGAATGCCAACATCTAGCACAAATGGTTGTTTAAGAAATGATTTCTTGGGGCGCCTGGGTGGCTCAGTCATTAAGCATCTCCCTTCAGCTCAGATCATGATCCAGGGTCCTGGGATCGAGCCCTGTATCGGGCTCCCTGCTCGGTGGGACACCTGCTTCTCCCTCTCCTACTCCCCCCAACTTGTGTTCCCTCTCTCACTGTGTCTCTGTCAAACAAATAAAAATCTTAAAAAAAAAAAAAATCAGTTTAAAAAAAAATGATTTCTCAGTTGGGTTGACAAAATTGGATTCCTGGTTTGGCCCTGAACTTCCAACAGGACAAGGCCCTAACTGGAATGTACTTGGCTAACTCTCCACCCCTATCCCCCAGGCTGTGCCTACACCAGCCACACCCTCCCAATCTACAAGGCCTTGGCAGAGACAGTCAGGGGCCTGGAGGGAGGGTAGCAGAGTGGAACCCTAGGAGCTCATGGGAGCCTCACAGAAGCCAGAAAACTCCACTGTGCCCTCTGGTACCCCTCGCTTGAAATGTCCCTTCCGTTCGAAGCCTTGCACATAGGACTGCAGTTCAAGATGGAGATGGCTCTAGACATCCCTGGGTTCCAGACCCAAGTTCAGTGGCCGTGCCTCCTCATCCCCTGGAGGCTGGGCAACAGCAATTTGCTATTATCGTGACCCCTGAAGGTTGGTTTCCACTTTATAGACAGGAAACTGAGACCATGTTTAGAGACTGGTGAACCCAGGTCGTCGGACTCTATGTTCAAGGCTCTTTCTATGGCCTTCACTCCAACTTGGCATTTGAGACAGGATTTTGACTGTTTTCCGTGGTAAAGTGGCCTTTCTCCAGCTGCAGCATCAGCTCAGTAAAGGCAAGAGATTCTCCAGACTGCTTTGTTAACAACACTAGGCTCTAATAATCCACAGTAAATGTTGATACTTCTCATGACCATCATGTCACTAGCCTATACACATCTATTCATGGCCCCAAATTATTAAATGTGTGAAGACCCTAAATGAACTAATGCAAAGCATCTCACATTCCCTGAGATTTTGTTTGCTGTCAGAGAAGGCAAGTTCTGCTGGGTAAGCCCGTGAATGAAAATGTGAAGGCTCTAGAAGGCAGAGGTGAGGTACTGAGATGGGTTTGCCTTTGGGCTTACAAAAAAACCCACTGAGGGGGCGCCTGGGTGGCTCAGTGGGTTAAAGCCTTTGCCTTCAGCTCAGGTCATGATCCCAGGGTCCTGGGATCGAGCCCCACTTCGGGTTCTCTGCTCAGCGGGGAGCCTGCTTCGCCCCCCCACTCTCTGCCTACTTGTGATCTCTGTCAAATAAATAAATAAAATCTTAAAAAAAAAAAAAACCCACTGGGTATTGGCTTCTAAATTTGGGGGATGAAGGTGGGGGTGGGTGGTGCTGACAGGCCTGGAGCTACCTCCAGTTGAGTCTCCCACCTTTTTGCCCCCAAACTGGAATTTACAACCTTGGTCTATTTATTTATTTGGCTTCATTTTGAATAATAAACACTGTCCCCTCATTCCCTACCCAACCTAATGATTTCTAAGTCTGATGACCACCAGACTGTGAACTATACATATGCCCAGACACCAGCAGAGATTAAGAGTAATCTGGGGACAAAATGCAGCAATCTTTTCTGACAAACAGATGATCCTAATGTCCAGTTAAGAGTTAAAAACCACTGGGGGCGCCTGGGTGGCTCAGTGGGTTAAAGCCTCTGCCTTCGGCTCAGGTCATGATCTCAGGGTCCTGGGATCGAGCCCCACGTCAGGATCTCTGCTCAGTGGGGTGCCTGCTTCCATTCCCCCCACTACCCACCTGCCTCTCTCCCTACTTGTGATCTCTGTCAAATAAATAAATAAAATCTTAAAATAAAAAAAAAAAAGTTAAAAACCACTGCATGCTGCAACAGATTTCTTTCTCTTTCTGGACTGAAAACTTCTGGGTACCCACCATCCACCTCTTTTTTCAGATTCAGGCTCTTCTGATTTTTCCCAGAAGTCACAAGGCTGTGCCTGTTTTAACTGAGGAGACGAAGAGACGTGGCTCTTCAGAAACTTGCCGCCAGGCTCCCTAGCAAACTCACCAGAACTGCTAGGTTATAAAAACTGTCCTTCAACTTTTGGGTGCAGAGCAGACCTGCAAGGAGATGGCATGTAGTAGGTGCTTAGTAAATACTGGTGGAATAAATGAATTTGTCAGCATCCTCTAGTGGGTTGGTAATGTCTTCTGAGGTTGGTTTTCAAGCTTCTATAGGAATAGTTGGCTAGGCCGGTGCAGACGGTGGAGGGGACTCATCTGACTGCTGTGTAGTGTGTATCTGCTGATTTCAGTTTGCTCAACTTCACACAAGCCCCACACACCAGGCTAACAGATCCCCAAATGTAGTAGCCACTGACCCCAGTTGTTTAATGACTCCCTACCACGTACCCAAGATTAAGCCCAATGGCCCCCACACTTATTTTTGTGCACAAGGTTTGATTTCAGCAGCAGAGATGGTTCTTCTGAGGTCTTCTTTTTTTTTTTTTAAAGATTTTATTTATTTGGCACAGAGAGAGAGAGATCACAAGGAGGCAGAGAGGCAGGCAGAGAGAGAGAGGGGGAAGCAGGCTCCCCACTGAGCAGAGAGCCGGATGTGGGGCTTGATCCCTGGACCCTGAGACCACGACCTGAACAGAAGGCAGAGGCTTAACCCACTGAGCCACCCAGGTGCCCCTTCTGAGGTCTTGATATAGCCCTTGAATGTGTTTTAAAGGTACAATAGACAAAATACCCACATATAATATACCATATGCACGTGAGCAGGTAGATGACTCAGGCAAACACATGTCATTTCTTTTTTGAACAGAAACAGAATTCAGGATTTTTTTTTTTAAAAATCGGAAGCCGGGTTGATCTCATCTGAAGAATGTTCCCAACGTTTCTGGCTTCCCACTAATGAGAAACTCAAGAGAGACTGCATCACAGGAGCAGCACACATTCTGAAGACCAGTGCTCTTCTCCCCATGACAGGAGTGAACTCCAAGTGCCTTTCCCAGCCACAGCAGTCTTGCTAGCAATACATTAAAAAAAAAAAAACTAAGAAAAGCAACATTCCATCCATAGTCCAACTTGGCCCCCAACCCCACCCCAGGAATGCTATTCTTGGCAAGAGATCTTCCAGAGGAAACAGCATCTGCAGAACCTCTAACTGTGAGGTCAGGGAAAGATGAGGCAGCTGAAAACTTTTCAGTTCTTTCTTAGATCCAAGTTACAGGGAACTAACAGAGCAGCAGGATGGGAGCAATCCTAGTAACTCAGGGCAAATGCCTCAGTCTTGACATTTTTCATTTCTGAGTTCCATGGAAGACTCTGATGTGTTCTGTAAGTCTACAGAGTTCCCCATTTACCTGGCTGCTCAGTTAAACCAAAGGAGTTCATTAGTCCCCCTAACACCTACATAGATGGGATCTGTAACTTAGTCTCATCGTACCATCAAGTTTTATTAATCACATTTTGTAGCTTCTGGGACAACAGCTATGAACTAGACAAAATTCCTGAGCTCAACATATTCAAGCCTAATTCCCTGTGCCTGTGCTCCAGAAATTCTACTTGCAGACCACAAGCAAATTTATGGACAAACAGATGAAGGAAGCTCAATGGCGACAATTCCTGGATATGACACCTTAAGCACGGGCAACAAAATAAAAAATAAACAAGTGGGACTACATCAAATGAAAAAGCTTCTACACAAAAAGAAAAATCAACAAAGTGAGATGACAGCCAACAGAATGGGAAAAATTATTTGCAAACTAAGTATCTAGATAAGGGGTTAACATCCAAAATACATAAAGAACTCATACAACTCAATAGCAAATAATCCCATAAAAAAATGGGCAAAGGGGAACACTAATTCAAAAAGATACATGCACTCTTATATTTATTGCAGCATTATTTACAGTAACCAAGATACAGAAGTTGTTTAAGCGTCCATCAATGAAGATGTGTATATATA